ATTTCAGTCGTTCAACCTCTCTCGACGACTCCTCTACCTACACTACCTCCGTTGACATTCCCATCATTGGAGCAAATCCCAAAGATTGATATCCCATCGGTTGAAGACGTCGAGAATGTAATTCCTCCTGTACAAAGGGCAATATTGACAACTGTTGCTCGCTTCTTTGGAGTGTTGTAAATGTAATATTGATGTTGAAAACTAATAATAAATTTTGAAAATTTTTTATTACCATTTAAACGGCACACCGGTACAGTACGGAAATCCTTCACACAACCACGACTTCAGGCACTGCTCATACAAGGCTTGAACGAGAGCATGAGAAAATTACGTCTATAAAACTGTTGACAGCGCTATGGGTTCTAGGAGTTGGTTGCTTTGAAACACAGCTTCCAAAAAGCTTAAGCGTGGTGCGTGCATAATCGGCCCATCCCAACCCTCTTAATAGGCCTGCAACCAGGGACGCCACAAGTTTTCACCGCAAAGCTTCACCCGACTGAACGCTAACCAGAAAAGTAATAAGATCAGGAACTCGAATCATTTTTAATATTAAAATAATTAACCAGAACACACCCTGAAGCCTGCGGTTTCACGCTTATGGCGATGGACAAGGAATAGGATTAGAGAATGGCCGCAACCTAAATCAAACAGACGAGGCTTGTTCGGACCTGTGAACTACCGCTACCTTAATTAATAATGAATAGCTACGATTTCTGCAGATTTGGAATAAATTAAGAGGGGTAGCGAATAGTCCACCACCGAACAATTGATGGCTATCCACCCAAAACCATACCATTCTCTTCCTATTGGATTTGTACTTCAGGGGTCCACGCGAAAGCAGAAGGGACAGGGGGAGTGGGACAGAGGCCTACGAGAGAAAGCTCATTTCGAAGAACTCACTTCCTCAAGGGATAACGATGGCTGGTTAAGAGTAAATCATTGATAGTGTACGTCATTTAGGGGCAAAAACTGAGCCACCGGGTGGGGTGAGAGGGACAACAAGAAGCCGCCAGACGAAGCAATGTGCTCCCAGCTGACCCATGAGCGTCTGTCTCTATGAGGATGGAAAGAATTTCGAAGCCCGTAATCGCAATGTGAAGAGTGGAAGGCTGAGAATATCCGTACGGATTACGAATAAGGCTTGGGGGAGGTGGTCAGGGTAGTTTGAGAGTTGATCAGATGAAGATATTTCAAAAACTATGGAGTCGAAGATCTAAAGCGGGATGTTGCCATGCTTCCTCCATGGATTTGTAAGTTTCTTGCTCTCGAGAAGGGAGAGATCTTCGCAGATTCGACGACGCGTGGTATGGGGAAGGATGATGTCGTCAACGAAACCTGAAACAACCATAGTGGAAAAAGAAGGAAAGGAAAGCTCTCTAGTCCCAAGATGGCTTCTCACAAGCCAACTCACCACGAACAGCAGCTGGGAAGGGATTGCTGAAGAGATCGATGTATTCTTCCTCTCTCTTTGCCACGTCCTTGTCTCCTCGGAAGAGAATTGATACAGCACCCTGGAATAAAGTGATATCTAGAGCAGCTAGTAATAATAACTAGTCAGGAACAGGACGCGCAACCTACCTTAGCTCCCATTACAGCTACTTCAGCGGTGGGCCACGCGTAGTTGACATCTCCACGGAGGTGCTTTGATGACATGACATCGTAGGCTCCACCATATGCCTAAAGCAAGTATAAAACTGCAAGTGCCAACCATTAACGTAGAAGGTGCGGAGCTCTCCAAACAAACAACCCGACCTCTCAATCGAGGGTGCTATCAGCTTAACAACAACTCCCTTGCATCTTCTATGAAAAAACTACATGCCCGTATTTCATCAGCTTATTCATAAACTCACCTTTCTAGTAATGACGGTAATCTTCGGCACAGTCGCTTCAGCATATGCATATAGAAGTTTGGCTCCATGACGAATGATACCACCGTACTCTTGTGCCGTTCCTGTAAACCTCGACTCCTACTAAATGTCTTCGAAAAACTTTCACTCAAACTCTGCAAAGTAATTCGCACCTGGTAAGAATCCAGGGACGTCGACCAGAGTGACAAGTGGGATGTTGAAAGCGTCACAGAAGCGAACGAAACGAGCGCCTTTCACTGACGAGTTGATATCGAGACATCCTAAAAAAGAGAGGATAGAAGCCATTACTTAAGATGTGCCTGCTCCTAGCACGTACCAGCGGCGAATTTCGGATTGTTGCCTACAACTCCAACTGTGCGTCCGTTCATGCGACCAAAGCCGACGACGATGTTCTGAGATCATGAATTCCCGAAATGCTTCAACTACGATGCGTGATTCCTAACATACCTTTGCATAGTCGGGAGCAATCTCGAAAAAGTCGCCTTCATCCACCAAAGCGAGTATAACGTCCTTCATGTTATACGCAGTAGTACTCTCGAGTGGAACAACGGTATCAAGCGATGGAACATCACGATCCCTGAAGAGTTCTATGAATCAACAACACGTCACTCACGAAGCCATCGGTAGGACGGGAATGCTGAAATGGGCGACAGTGTTGCCAAGCGGGTGACCTTCGTTGCGCG